CGGAGCTAGGGGAGGGCCATCTCTGGCCCTGGCCCAGCCCAAATTTTAAAAATGCCTGTATTTTTAGTGTAAAAAATTCCGTGTAAAAAAATTTCAAAAAATATTCTTTGTATCGGCCCAGTCCGGCCTAGTGCTCTAGCTCCGCCCCTGCTCTCCGTACCCCCTTACTTTGTCTCGTTTTACTTCTTTCTTTTGTCCCATTAAATTTGTTTGCTATCATATTTGATAATATTTAGGTGGTTACAATTCATTTTTACTTTATTTATACTTCATCAATTCAATACTAGCTACACAATTACACTTTTCTTAAAAATCGCACTACACCCTCTTTTCCCAATCTTAGTGGGACAAATGTAGTAAATATTTTGGTACAAGCTTAGTTGAGGAGTTAAAAGTTAAAACCATGAATGAACACATGTTTGTTTGTTGTTTTCAACTTGAAGAATTGAATGATGCATTTTATACATTCATTTGTAATTATGATTGTTTCTTAGTATTATTTTAAATGTTACTCGTATATGATTTATTGCAAAAGTACGTTGTAGGGAAAAAATAATAACCCGGATCCATATATCTTACAACCGGCTGTACGGTGTGCATCGTACAGCCAGGTAAACTTGTAATTCTCATCAACTTCATCCCTTTTAATTTGCTCTTAACCTCCATCCCCAGTTAATTGTTTTCTTTTCCGTTTCACTGCTGCTTTAGTGCTTTGGCGGCATTTCGCATGGCTTATACTCGTAATTCCTAATTTCTCTTGCTCTTATTCTTTCGTTTGATTTATACGTTTGTCTTTTTCATTTTTCCATTAGCAAACAAGATTTGCTTCCATGCTTCTTTCTTTCTCTTATTATTAGATTTCGTTGCTCTCCTGATTCTTTTTTCCCTTCATTTTTTTGCTTTAACAACTTTTACTTTTTCCAATCAACCTTTTAACTTATTTTTTTTAAATTTGTGCATTTTTAAACATTTTAGTCATTAATTTAATTTTTTATTTTTTAAATTTTAAGATGAATATTTATTAATTTCTTTATTATTGTGTTTTAATTACTATTATGAGTTTTGTGTTATACAAAAATGAGTATAATGTAAAATAAATATGCATGAGTAGATATTATAAGAAGAACATGATTATATTTTTAATTCAAGAAAGAAAGACTATAAAATATTTTTTAATATGAAATTATTATATATCTCATTGTTATATATAATGATGATTTAGTATATTGTTAATTATGTATAGTATCTACTACATGTACATATTATAGAAAGGAATAATATAATGATTAAAAGAAATAAATATACACAGATGAATATTTGAACACATTAGAGAATTCGAATGAGATATTGAATTTTCGATGTTCATTTTGTAAGTTATGTATGTTCATTTTGTAAGTTACGTATGCTCATATGGTATTGGTATGAGCATCAAACTTATTATGTTGAGTATTATGAGGCTAATATTGAGCATCGTGATCTCTGCATTATATTTTCTAATTCCCTTTGTTTTTCTTATTTTGTTTATTATAAAAAACTAAATTATAACTATAACCAACTCTTAATATTTTAATCTAATGTAATATAATACTTTTGAAATAAGCATTGATATTACATTTTAAAATGAGCATAACATCAGTACATAATGAGCATACATACCTAACAAAATGGGCATTGATATGAAAATAATAAACTCTATTAGTTGAACATCAAAACATTTCATTTAACATCAAACCTTCTGTATTGAGTATTAGAAGTCTAACGATGAGCATCAAACCTCCTATATTGAGATGAAAATAATGGTTTTTGTTAAATGAGCATGAATGAACTTTTAATTAGTACTAGACATATTCTTTTGAGTATTAAGAGTCTATTATTGAGCATAGTAATCTCTGCTTCATATCTTCTAATTCACTTTCTTTTTTTCCTTTAATACAAACTTATTAAATTATATCTACAATCAATTCCTATGAAGTTCAATATGTGAATCTAATGTATATGATACTTTTGAAATAAGCATTGATATGACATTTATAAATGAGCATAACACCAGTACCGATTGAGCATATGTAGCTTACAAAATAAGAGCATTAATATGAACATAATCAACTTTGTTAGTTGAACATCAAGACATTTTTTCATGAGCATTAAACATCCTCTATTGAATATTAGAAGCGTGCAATTGAGTATCAATTGAGAATTCGTAAATATTAAAATGAGCATTAGTGTGAAAATCATAAGTTTTTTTAGTTGAGTGAACATCAAGACAAGTTTTTTTTAGTTGAGTGAACATCAAGACATTTTCATCGAGTATCAAACCTCCTCTATTGAGTATTGAAAACATGCAATCGAGTATCATGGTCCATTCTCTCGTATCTATAATTTAAAAAGTGAGAAATATAATAACTTTAAATTAAAAATAATTTATAGTATTTTGTTCTTCAATTAAAAATAAATATTGTGTTGTTTTTATGATATTTACTCATACACATTTATTTTACATTATACTCATTCTAGTATAACACAAAACTCATGTTAGTAATTAACACATAATACTTAATGAAATTAGAAATATTCCTCTTAAAATTAAAAATAGAAGAACAAAACATTGATGCCTAAAATATTTTATAATGAAGAAATTTGAGATTATACTGAATAATAATTGAATAAAAATTAAAGCATGTTTAAGAAAAAATAAACGAATAGAAAGAACTAAAAACGGAAAACAACAAAAATAAAGAAAACTGAAAAGCAAAATAAAGTGAAAAGCAACGAAAAGAAAAGAGAGAAAAGGAGAAGAGTCGTACCAGCCATCAGCGAAAATCGAGGTGTAGCGGAGGAAAAGAAAAGCAAGAGCAGCCATTAACCTACCTTTTTACCCCTGTAACTTCGATTTAATTACATAAAAACCCGGCTATACCATGCCCCTAGGTACAGCCGGCTGTACCGTATATACAGTGGCGGATCTAGCACTGGCATTTTGGGTGTTCATTCACTTTAATGTTAAAATTAAGAACAATAATCTTGTATGGCGTAACAATTTAACAAGTGTATCTTCATCAATAACTAATTAGTACGTCGAGTAAAATGCAATGCATAATATTACAATATATCAAAAAATTAAAAAACAAATACTACAACCATTCTTTTTTCGTTTTTTGTTTTTTATACTACAACCATTCTATTCTTCAACACATATCATTGCTATTAACACAAATAAATCAAGCAAATAAAAAACATACAAATCTTCATAAAACATCGAAGTAGCCTGATATCTAAAAGAGGGTGAGGTAGGGAGTGTTTGCAATTGCTTCAACTTTAAAAAAGTGATTTTTTAAAGTGATTTGGGGAAAAGTGATTAATAGTAAAAGTTTGTAGTGTTTGAGTAAAAAGTGATTCTGAAAAAGTAAAAGTTGGTAGTGTTTGGTAAAATAAGTACTTTTTATGTAATAGAAAAAGTGAAAAGCAGTTTAAAGCACCCTTCCACCTGCTTCCAGCTAATTTTAGCTTTTAAGTGATTAATTTAAGCAGAAGCTGTCATTTGAAAACACTCTTTTTAACTTTTTTTAAGCCAAAAGCTGAAAAGTGCTTTTTTTAATCAACTGCAAACACTCCTGTAATACTCCCTCCGTCCCGAAAACAACTTCCCACTTTCCTTAAATGGATGTCCCAAAATTAACTTCACACTTCAATACTTTCCTTATTTGGCAAATTATCTACATCAAAAAAGTGATAAACAGTGTCAAACAGTGTTTAAACAGTGCCAAACAGTGTTTAAACAGTGCCAAGGAGTATATTAAAAAGTACTCAAATTCAGCTTTCTATATATGCATGATATTGCACCACTAACACTCATTTCTCTCCAATTCTTGATTTTCTTCCTCTCATTTTTAATAAAACTTATTTAAGCATAAAGAGCAAAAAGTACCGACTTTAATTTAATCATTTGTATGGAATCAAAGATCCACACAGTGAAATCCACTAGCCAAATATATTTACTAACTTACCTAAAAATAGATCTCCCCAACACCTCCCCAATCTGTGTTCTCAATCTACCGAAAGGCAATTAGGCATGCAATGGGATTAGGCTAAAAATAAATCCAATCGTAATTTATGCGGTTAAATCATGAGTTTGTAAGGGTAGACGAACGGGTTAAGAATTTCTCAAACACAGAAGGAGACAGTCTGATATAGTTGAAGTGTCAATGGAACCACAATCTTTTGAAATAATAAAAAACGGTGCTATTTTGATACCAAAAAATAAAACTTTTGGGTGTTCACATGAACACCCTTGAACAAGGGTGAGTCCGCCACTGCGTATATATTGCGTAATAACTCGGTAATAGATTTGAAGGCGCATTAAAGCGCAGCTAAACCTCCTGTGATGCTAAATATGTATCTCAATATAAGATGTTGAAAAGCGTGTCACTTTTAGCGACAAAGCTATACCGATGTCAAGAATTAGTGTTGTAAGAAGGTCTAGCGACACGAGCAAAGCCAACACTTTTACAAGTGCCGATAAAAATACTTTCAACGCTTTTTAGTACCTCTACAAATCGGTATATAGCATCATATGTAATAGCTCGTTTTCCTACTAGTTTTTTTTTTTGTTGGCAAAACTAGTGCTAGTAGTTAGAGAGCCCGTTTGGTAATACCAAAATTGGCTGAATTGACTGATTCTGCTGAAATTTATGATGTTCTGGTTGAAGTGGCTGTATTGGCTGATTCTGCTGATTAATGAAAAAATTATATTTAAAATATTTGATATTAATAAATTAAATAAATAAAAAATTATATGAAAAATAGCTAAAATGATCCTCTACAGTAACTGCAGCCAATACAGCCAGAAAAGTAACTCTAACCTTACTTTTTCTGCTTATTACAAAATTCAGCGCGCGAAATTAAAAGTTACGTGTTTGATGAAATAATTGGCTGATAAGCCTGATAAGCCGAAAAAAGGGTCACCAAACGGGCTCAGAATGTTGTGTTTGCTTTATTTAATACTTGGGCACCAAAATATCTCATTATTATTAATTAATTGGGGTATCATTCATGCTATTATACTCCTTAATTATAATCACCCAAGTATTGCTAAAAATTCTATATTTGTATCCCTTTCATTTCTATTCATAACAAACTGTTGAAGTTGTACATCACAAAATTGTAATGTAATAAAGTGCTATATTAAGAGATGAACTATTTCTATTATCATGTTGATCTTTTAGGATGGAACCCCGGATTTTAACATGGTATCAGAGCCAAATCGATTCATAGCAGTGGTGTAGGCTCCATATAAAAATATGACGATGATTATAAAAAAAAATGAGAATGACGATTCGATGAAAAAAAATTAATGACGGCACGATCCAGACGAAGTTTCTGCTCGTAAGGAAGAGTGTTGAAGTCTCACACCGGAAAATTGTGAAACAATAAAGTGCTATATTAAAATCTGCGCTCCTCCTCCTATCAGGTTGACCTTTTGGGATATAATCTCGAGTCTTAACATGGTATGAGGGTCAAACCGATCTATAACCGTGGTGTAGGCCCCTTATGAAAAGTATGATGATGATTAATTAGAAAAATGACAATGACAAACTGATTAAAAAATGAATGACGACACGATCCAAATGAAATGTCTTATCACGAGGAGAGTTGAAGTCCCACACGGAAAATTGTAAAATAATAAAGTGCTACTCCCTCCGTCCCGCTATGATTCTCCCATTTTACCATTTCGATCCGTCCTACTAAGATTGTCTCATACCTTATTTGGTAAAGTTTGTGTGGTTCTAAATCATTCCTACTTTATTCTTACTTTATCAATTCAATATCAACCACACAAACTCACTTTTATTAATAACCGTGCCATCTTTTCTTGTCCTAAACTTAGGGGGACGGAGGTAGTACATAGTATATTAAGACATACTCCCTCCGTCCCTAATAACTTTGCCAAGTTTGACCGGCACGAGGATTAATAAAGTAAAAACTGTGTGGTTGAGGTTTGTGCAGAAGAGAGAGAATTAACTTGAACCACAAATTCTTTACTTAAAAGGGAAAGTGGCAAAGTTAATGGGACATCCAAAAAAGGAAAGTTGGCAAAGTTATAAGGGACGGGAGTATGTTACTTATATCATGTTGTTGACCTGGAAGTCACGTCTAACCCAAAAAAAATTCTTAGGATGGCAAACCTCCTCCAAATTGACAAGGTGGACTTTTAAAACTCCAACAACCAGTACACTTGCGCCGGCCAAACCAAGTCTATTACTACCTCCGTCCCTTATTAAACTTCCAAATAGGTTTGGCACAGAGTTTAAGATAGTGAGTATTGTGTGGTGGAGAGTTGTGCAGAGGAGAAAAAAATCTGTAAGAATTGCTGTGAACCACAAATTCTGGCCAAAAAGGGAAAGTGGAAGTTTTAATTGGGACGGACGAAAAAGGAAAGTTGGAAGTTTATTTAGGGACGGAGGGAGTAGTTTTCTCTCAATTACCACACCTTACAAGGGTAAGATAACACTTTCCTTGACATATTGTGAGCAGTGGCGGAGCCACTTTAGTTCAAAGGTGTTCTCATGAACACCTAGAATTTTGAAAAATATCTTAGTATATATGTATGAATTTAGTTTTATTATTTATTTTCTTTTCAAATTTTAAATATAGAAAAAATGAACACCCATAGTTGAATTCATAGATCCGCCACTGATTGTGAGACCCACACAGCCGCCAATTGAGTCACGATCTTTCGACCGATCAAGAAGAAAAAGAACCTGTTCTTCTATTTCCAGGATGAGAGACTCTTCCTCGATCACACTGTCCAGGAGAAAGGAGAACTTGTTCTACAATTCTCTCCCATGCATGATTGGGGCTGAGATTATATTCGAGATGCTTCTTGATCTCAGGTATCCTCAATCTCGGTCAAAACTTGAAGATTACTGGCTAAGGCTCCATCTATGTTTGATCATGAGAAGTACGTACGCCATAGATGTGTTTTTGTTGATCAATAGTCTCAAAATCAGAGATAAAATCCGAGTCATGTTCATCTATATAATCATGACGTACAACTCTTACTTTTTTTTGGTGAGAGTACAAAGTGTTTGAAAATCACACCGGGTAAACACTTATTGAAGCGCGGAGGGTATATTAACGTTTCATAAATTATCCCACGCACATGGTTCCTTTTTCCTCCTTTTGATTAGTTGATTTACTATGCATGATAATAAAGCCGTGTACTTCTCATGACCAAACATAGATGGAGTATTAGAGAATGTGGTAAATCAATAAGTGCATATTATATTTACACGCATCAATGCATCATTATTATTCATTTATGTTGACAGATAGTGTCGAGTGATATACTGATATGTTACGTTTCAAAGTTGCATATTGTTAGACATTTGAACTAAAGACCTGTTTGGATGCAGGGTTGATATGCATTAGCAATGAAAATATTAGTAAATGTTAATAGAGACGACACGGAATGAAAGGTAAGTGTAAATGTAAAACTTAAACTTACCTTGTTTGGGAAAGTTCAAAAATGAAGTGATAATAATGAAAATGTTTTCAATTAAATGACAATAATGTCCTTATCTAAATCCTAAAAGCAAAATAAATTGGAAGCCTAGATCAAACCCATCCTTGCTCTCAATAATTGGATGCCAATGAGTGAACGACTACTCCAATTGAAGGAAGAAGAATAGCAAAAGCTCCAATTCCTTTCCAATTGAATAACCGCTATTTAGGAGTTGAAGAAGAAGATGCCACATAAATTGATCGAAGAAGAAAATTAGCGGATCAAATTCCTCTCTATCCAGGTGATATTCTGGTTCACCCCCACTACAACATTTTAGGGCTATGGCAACATCAATTTTTTCCAAATCCATAAAATTGTTACTTTATATTATCATAGGCTACAATTTGTTAAAGTGTTACTAAAGTGGATAACGTTTTATAATTCTAAAGGGCATCACTAATATACCGTTCCCAAATAGTAGTGGGCAACGGTTTTTTATTTTTAATGCCTTTTCCACGCTTAAAAGTTGTTGCCGTTTCTCTCATTAAATTTTTCTATAATTAAACCGTTCCCGCAGGTTTCCTTTTTCCGCGCCTAAGTGTCTTATTTACTTTATTTACTTTATGTTAGCTGACGTGCACTTTGTCGTGTGTGCACTTAAATTAAATTCAACACTAGCACTTATACGTAGTATAGGTGAAGTAGAGTTCGTATCCACAGGGAAAGGAATAACTTTCTTTTTATATAAATAGTAAGTAAAGGGGGGTTTTGATTGTTGACTGATTTAATTAAATTAAACACGAAGATGAACGAGTTATATGGGATTTAATTCAAAGATAAAAGTGACTTGGCATTGCTACTTTCCACTTGTTGATATATTTTAGTCGATCATTGTTATATCTATAACTTCTCTCCTCTCGAATACTCAATCGAGGAGTATATCCAATTCATCGAGGATAGTTATTAACAACAACCGTTCATTAATAACCCTTACTATTAGTCAAGTATAGAACAACGTCATATACCGACTTGATAGTAGCATTTAATCTTTTAACTCCTTGATGAAATCAATTGAGATTGATAACCTCAACACAACGGTTTCGGTTTAACCAACAAAATTAATCCCTCTTAAGTTTATTAACCACGACCGTGCATTAATAAACCGAAGTTACTTACTTGTGAAACTATCAACTATTAACCATCGGTTCGTTGATCGTTTCTAGTAATAATTAATATGTGAAACAAAACTAGTTGATCCTTTAAGTAATGTTCAAAATATTAATATGAAATATGAATAGGAATTAATTAATACTCAAGGAAGAATATTAAAGGGAGTGAATCCTACTATAGTTAAATATCAAGATGTTAACTAATTGTCATCTTAGTAACACTCCCCGATATTAACATAGAGGAAGGAATAGCTATTACTAAAACCAATGTCAAGATGTTAACTAATTGTCATCTTAGTAACACTCCCCAACATTGATATAGAAATAGTATTTAAAGGAAGAATTAATATTCAAGGAAAAAAAGTTAAGAAAATAACTCACAACTTTAATAATCAACAAGCTTCAAGAGCAATACCAAGAAATGGAAGTTTAGCTCCTCATTTGGAGACTAAACATGCTAAAAGAAATATAAAGAAATGCTATTCTAAACTGAGCTTAAGAGTATATAGGAAATTGATGTTTAACAGTGAAGGAAAGGAGGTGTATTTATAGGCTCTTTTGAGGTGCAGGTCGGGTACTCGATCGAGTATATACATATACTCGATCGAGTATGTGTAGAAATCAGAATTTGACCCATACTCGATCGGTTTTAGAGTAAATTTTATAACTATACCCGATCGAGTATGTCGGTGTACCCGATCGGGTATAGACACTCGATCGTGGGTAAAATTTCCCTGCATGTTCCTTTGCTTTCGGATCCGATTTGATTTGAAGTTTCAACAAGATACCCGATCGAGTATAGGTGATACTCGACCGGGTATAGACATAAAATTCAGGATCTCTTCTTTGTCTTGTGATTTTGCACCTTCCTTCCACTTTTGGGGTTCACCAACTGTCCTTTGAGTGATGGTATACCTGTTTGAGTTCAGAATAAACCTAATCTAAACAATTTACAAGAATTTAACAAACTAAACTATTACACCGAAAGTGTGTAATTTCCGAAATATTAAACAACCAAAACTAACTAAAAACGTAAATAAACACACGGAAATTACAAACGTATCATTAGCCGCCTAACTGTCTATGCCAGAAACAAAATAGTAGCAAAATCAATCGATCTCTAGGTTTGCTAGAGATGATACGCTTCACCGATCGTTACACCGACCGCTAGGTTTGCTATGGATTCAATCGATTGTTAACGATGCATTCAATCGACCGCTTCTCAATCAGAAGATAGACAACTAAGGAATCGCTTCTCACAAATCTTCACTTCTAATGGATCTTCTCATTCAGTTCACTTCTCCGATCTTCGCTTTTCTTCTCTAGAAATCTCTTTCCTCACAGATCTTCGCCGACAGCACCAATAGCACCATCACCTGAGCACGCCAGCAACCCTCGCTCTCAAGTTGAGTCTTCCAGGTACCTTTTTTTTAAAAAAAATTGAAGCATGTTGGTTTCGTTTTTTAGAAATTCGAGTATTTTGATTTTGATTTTTGATTTTTTCTTCATGTGCTCAATTGTGCGGAACCATGCATTATGCTCTGTAAATCATATACTACATAATGGTTAACCACACCACTAAGCAGTTGGCAAAACTCTTATTTCTACTTCTGTATTATTTATGTTTTCCGCAGGATGTTTGTGTATGTATGCCCAAATTTGGATTATAATGCTGCGTATAATCATTATGAATTATAATGTTTACTAAATTTGGGAATCAAAACTTGAATTATTAGATCGAATAAACATGGTCTCTTACCCCTCAGATATAGTTTGAATGGATCTGTTCCTGTTATCTTATTACCCAGCTATGATTATCTGTATATGTGTACACTTGTGCATATGCTATGAAATTGAAAGGTTTTCACTATTCTGAAGTATTGGTATTGGATTTCTAGCTAAAAGGAGAACCCTGTATGATATGCAGTCTCTAGGTATAAGGGAATTGACTTAGGGTTACTGTATTACAATTCTTCTAAATGGTCTGATTCATTGGACAGTTAATATGCTCCATGAACAAGCTTAATAAATGTATTTTGATTTTTAAATGCAAGTTGAGTCTTCCAGGTACCTTTTTTTTAAAAAAAATTGAAGCATGTTGGTTTCGTTTTTTAGAAATTCGAGTATTTTGATTTTGATTTTTGATTTTTTCTTCATGTGCTCAATTGTGCGGAACCATGCATTATGCTCTGTAAATCATATACTACATAATGGTTAACCACACCACTAAGCAGTTGGCAAAACTCTTATTTCTACTTCTGTATTATTTATGTTTTCCGCAGGATGTTTGTGTATGTATGCCCAAATTTGGATTATAATGCTGCGTATAATCATTATGAATTATAATGTTTACTAAATTTGGGAATCAAAACTTGAATTATTAGATCGAATAAACATGGTCTCTTACCCCTCAGATATAGTTTGAATGGATCTGTTCCTGTTATCTTATTACCCAGCTATGATTATCTGTATATGTGTACACTTGTGCATATGCTATGAAATTGAAAGGTTTTCACTATTCTGAAGTATTGGTATTGGATTTCTAGCTAAAAGGAGAACCCTGTATGATATGCAGTCTCTAGGTATAAGGGAATTGACTTAGGGTTACTGTATTACAATTCTTCTAAATGGTCTGATTCATTGGACAGTTAATATGCTCCATGAACAAGCTTAATAAATGTATTTTGATTTTTAAATGCAACTGAGTAAATGTTTTACATTTCTGATTTGATTAAGCTTATTAGTCATGATGTTTCTATTTTACATTTCTGTTTAACATGTACTCCCTCCATTCCTTTATATGAGTTCATAACTTCTGATGTTTCTAAAAACATGTCCCGATTTCAATAATGGTAGGCCCAGAATTGACCTAGATATTACAGGTTCTGTTTTCAATAAATTTAGGCCCAAAAGTGACCCGGGTATTACGGATCCCGGTCCGGTCCAGGACTGGTATTGGCATTTTTAGTTACTTATTACGGATCCTGGTCCGGTCCAGTACTGGTATAGGCATATTATATTACTAATATAAAAAAATGTTACACACTAAAGATGAAATATTATTTATAAATAACAATAGAGAATAGTTTCATAATTTCCATAGGTATCTAATTCTCTACCATGACACTACGGCTTGAAACTTGCTGATTGAGCTGAGAGTTCATCCCACATCTATATACCAGTAAATATATGATGAAGTAGTTTCTGATGGATAATCAAATTGCTTGGTCTTTTTTATTAGTTATTTATCATATTCGTTGCATCCCGATATATTTGTTAAAGTAGTGGTGTTTTCTGTTGCTTGCTGGCAAACTCAAGTCAAAAACTACTTAAGGTGTAGTGTTTAAAATTTTCCAGAATTTTAAGCAATATGAAAACAGTTTATATGTTGACTTTCGTAAGCAATATGCTATTTCAACCAGTCATATTTCAGTCAAACTGCGTAAAGAATTAATATCTCATTTTCCTTTTCAATGAGATTTATTTCAGTGTGGTTTTGTTACAGTGATACTTAAAAAACTAGTTTGAATTTATAATGTGATTCACAGTCTTCCATAAGAATCAAGAAATGATATGGAATATGTATGAATGTTGATTTAGCTTTCCTGATAAGATGTAATGTAGAGTATCATTTAATTAATTGTTCTTTATTGATAACAGTTACTTTGCTCTAAATCTTCAATAAGGGTTTTGTTAATCACAGGCTGATAATCAATAAGAGTTTAATATCCTTTATGATTTTCATAGATGTTTTCCTTTCACGTCTACCATTCCAGCAACAAATATTTCATTAAAAAAGAACTTAGTTCTATTCTAGAAAGTAAATATTTCCTTAAAACTTCATAGAAACTTAGTCCTTAAGACTGTGGTTAGCATTTTTCCTTTCAATAATGAATACAAAAATTGAGAGGAGTTTGGTCCATTCCTAGAAAAGATAGTATTATTACTTTATATGAGAGGGCATTTGGTTAATTCTTGTCACTCCTGGAATTGGATTCTCTAATTTTAAGCAACCAAAAAAGCAGTTTTCCTTAGCTAGTGAATTTGTGTTTGGTTTGCATCAATGAGGAGAGTCGGATTCTCTACTTTCAGTTGTTGCAAACTTGTTCTTGTTCACTTCTAAAACCATATCTGATTTTGGTTCGCTTCTAAGACCATCTGTTCCAAGTCTTTCAGTGGAGATGACAGATTGTAATATTATGGATGCATTGTCAACCCATGTGCAAAGCAGCTTGTGCCCACTGTCCAGTTTTAAGCTGAATACTGACGCTGCTTTATCAACTGTTGATCAGAGTCAAAAACACAAACAAATCACATCTACCAATGTTCACCTAAAAAGATAATAATACTGTTATTTGCGCTATTTAATATATTTCAGCCACTAGGGCAGTAACTTTTTTTGGAAAGCTGTTTGTAGAAGGGAACAAGTTGGATCACCTAACCCAAACCATTGAAGTCTTAGTTGTATATTAAAAAATTATTCTCATAAAGAAATAAGTTCACCTTTCCTTATACAATACTCCATTGATCTCATAAAATTCTTGTTAATGTCGACATGCTATGCTTTTGATTTGAGCTTAATTATGTGCTTCATAATTTTATTCTTTATAATTTATTTGGTTTACGCTTCAATATTTTTTTATGTAGGTGGATGATGGCATTGATGAAGAAAGTGAAGATGAAGATGTAAACAATGAAGTTTTAATGTGATTTGATGAAGTTTTATTTCCATTTGTTGTTTTCATTTTAAGTTCAGAGTTAAGACACTACTATTGTGATGATTTACACTTTAAAGACAATGGATCATGGATGTTGATTACTAGGGTATTGTTGAACTATGATTTGTGATTGATTATTGTTGAAATGAAATTCTACCTTTTCCCCATTCAAGTATTTCATAAACACTTTTTAAAAGATTGACATTTCAAATTAGTAGTATGGTGCTTTGTAGCAATGTTTGCAAAAAATGGTTGGAATCTTTTTTACAACAGTTTTTTTTGGTTACTATTGATAGAAACAAATAAAAAATATTGTCCTATATGTTTGAAAAAATTGTTCTCTAAGCTATACTCTTTGAGTACGGTTTTTTCAATGTGTTGCCTTTAAATATTAAAACTGTTGTCTAATGTATAGGCAACGCCTTACATTACCACAGTTTTAAAACTGTTGCCAAAAACAATGGCAACAGTTTTTTTTATTAGGCAACAGTTTTTCAACGTAGTAGTAAATCCAAAATGTTGTAGTGACATACAAGGCTCTGGCAAATAATTTGACTCCATGTGCATTGTGCAGTGATAGTGGATGTATTTGACCATGAAGTAAGCCTCTTGAGATACATCAAGAACCCACCAATCCCAGCTGCTTCGACGAAGAAGACCTGAATGGGTGAAAAACGGAAAGCAATGATGGAGGTAGAAGTGTAGAACTACGGTATGAAAGGGAAAAGATTTGTCCAACACTCCAATTTGAGATGTTAAAAAAATCACTTATCGAGGTGTTAGGGAGGTTTTCTCTAACACTTTTAAACACTTATACTAACACTTGAATTCCTTAATAAAAATTCTCCAAAACAAGTGATAAGACCAACACCCTTCAACACTTTCATTAGTAATACCTCTCAACACTTCATCCAAATAAACCGTAAAATTAAACTCTACTCCCTCCGTCCCCCTATGTTTGTCCCGTTTTACCTTTTCGTCCGTCCCATTAAGTTTGTCCCATACCATATTAGGTAATGTGACAGACACTTTGTCGTAGTGCGTCAAAATAAATTCAATACTAGCACTTATACGTAGTATAGTGAAGTAGAGTTCGTATCCACAGGGAAAGGAATAATTATCTTTTTAAATGAAACAAATAAATAAAGGGGGGGGGGGTTTGATTGAGTGATTTAATTTAATTAAACACAAAGATGAAGGACTTATATGAGATTAAATTTAAGAATAAAAGGGACTTGGCCTTGCTACTTTCCACTTGTTGATATATTTTAGTCGATCATTGTTATATCTATAACTTATCACCTCTCGAATACTCAATCGAGAAGTATCTCCAATTCATCGAGGGTAGTTATTAACAACGACCGTTCATTAATAACCCTTACTATTAATCAAATATAGAACAACGCCGTATACCGATATAATAGTAGCATTTAATCTCTTTAACTCCTAGATGAAATCAATTGAGATTGATAACCTCAACACAACGATTTCGGTTTAACCAACAAAATTAATCCCTCTTAAGTTTATTAACCACGACCGTGTATTAATAAACCGAAGTTACTTACTTGTGAAACCATCAACAATTAACACCATTGGTTCGTTGATCGTTTCTAGTAATAATTAATGTCGGAACGTTAACTAATCGTCACTTAGCAACCCTCGAACATTAATATAGAATGAGATTAAGGAAAGAATTAATAATCAAGAGAAGAAGTTAAGAAAATAACTCACAACTTTAATAATCAACAAGGAAAGAATCTGAACAGTAGTAGGCCGCAAAACCAATCATCTAACTTAAATGATGGTGAACTTATCACCACAGGCTAACCCCACATTATTAAGGCCGGGATGATTCTAATCCCTAATTAATAATGGTGATAAAGGCAATTTTAGCTGCAATATTATTTATAATAGGAGCAGATGGTGAAAGGGTGATGTTACTTAGCTGAAATAGGCTGAGTATCAGCTGTCAGGCCAATAGATTGGCCCGATTAAGATTTAACTCGGTTGGATGAGATCCGGCCCAACTTTTGGCTTTGTATATCTCTGCCGCTCCTTCACCCAAGCTATACCAAAGCGGATATCCTTCAAAGCCCAGCCTGGTGCCGAACGGGAACTTCGAGGGTCGGTGTTCCAGAATGCCGAGCAGCAGGTACTGCACGATGCAGAGGAGGAAAGCTGGTTTTCCCGATCGGAAGCTGCTATCTCTGGCTGGACGGACACTGGTTGATCACCGGTTGTTGCTCGAACGAGATTTGATATCTCTGCTTGAACGAAGACTGGTCGGTCGTCGATTATTGCTCGAACAGGATCTTCTATCCCATCTGAGCGGAGACTGGCCTGGTCCCAAAGCTAGGCGGTGTTATGACAGAACTTTGGGCGCCGGTATGCCGGAAATTCTCCCGTCCAGAACGTATATGAGATATGTAGGTCGCTTCTTCCCGAACCTTCTTGGTGCATAGTTTTCTGTCAGGGACAAAGAATTATTTGGATCCTTTGAAAATTCTAGCGAAGCTATGATATGTTCCCAGGATCTTTCCCGTTCGGGAAAAGCAATAGTGCCGGTGGCCTTGTTTAATAGTGTGATCATCCGTAGATACCTTGGGCCAGTGCCTAGCTTGGGCGTCCTTTTAGTTGGGCAGGTTTTTGAAGTTCTCGTTCGGGTCATAAATTTTAGTTGGTGAGTTAAAGGAAAGCTTGCCGACCGGGGGTCTCCGTTTGGCTACGGCTATGAATGCTGGGGAAATCCAGCCCGTTCGGGCAAGCAGTATGGCTGTTCCTTCATGGCTTCTTTTACTTGTGCAGGTCCCATCCTTGGTTCAGCCTAAAACTCTCGTTCAGGCCTCATTGTTGACTCCGGGTACACATGGATATAGGGCCTGCTTGGCGGAAAATCTCCCGCTCGGCCCCCTGCTAAGCTGAAACTGTTGCTCTTGTGTGCTGATGTGCGTCGCCTCTCCGGACTGGCCGGTCGTTCCATAAGTTCCTGTCCTGGGTTTGGGGGTATTGCAAAGCATAGTGTGTTCGGCGTTCGTTACCCATGTGTTCGGGGAGTTTCCGTTCGGCGTTCGGGATGCAGTGCATACTCTTTGGATAATGATGAATCTGTCAGAATCATCTACTTTTGTTGTGTTGTCAGGCTTCCCACGTGAGAATGTATAGATATTTTCCTTATCTCAAGCCAGTGGGTATGTGGGTCCCTCTTACTTCTTCCTCCTTCACTGGTATGCTTCCATGGCTGGTTCACTGCTTGTAGTTCGAATTGTTTTTTTGCTTCGGTCCCAGCCTGTCACTTAGGACATGGAGCAATGATTTGATAGCCAGCTGCTTGGTTGGATCCGGATTCTTCACCAGGAGTTCTCCATTTATAGTTTTTCCAGAATTCCTCCCCTTGCTTGTTTCCTTTGAAGATCAGGTCGTTTTTGCATCAAAAAACTTTGTAAAAAATCAAGAACACATGAACCTTTTTGATCTTTTCCCACAGACGGCGCCAATGTTGAGGTTTTGTCCCGTAGATCCGAAAGCGCAACATAAACTTCGGATATTAAGGACGATGGATTCGGTATATAAAAGTGAATATAAATATAAAAGTGTATGAACTAGCTATTTTTACGTGGAAACCCGGAAAAGGAGAAAACCACGGGACTTTTTAGGCTAACGTCCAAGCCCGCTCTTTCTCATTAATATGCTCCCATCACTCATTTACAATTTTACATAGTACCAATATTTCTTGGATCTTCCATTAATGGAGCTTTAATAACTAAGCTAAAAGAATAAGAAATAAGGATGAAGAACTCATCCAGGAAAGGAGAGCCAGAAAAAGCAGATCCTTTGAGTGGAAGCCTTCCTTCCTATTTATAGGAAAAGGGGAGGGCTTTTCTATTCTAATAAGGCCTTAATGGGCCGAAGCAGGCCCATGTGGGCCGAAATGGGCCGGTTGGCCTAAATGGGCCTCGCCAAATGGGCCCCGTACCGGGGTGGTGTCTTGGGCATCTGAACAGTAGTAGGCCGGGATATTATTCCCCAACAGGATGCAATGGCCGGCCTTGTTTGGCAATCGGCCGTTAGCTTGTTCCCATAACAGTTAGGTAATGACTGATTGTTTAGCTGCTTTGAATGGCTGGTTAACTTAGTTCATTGTCAACAATTGTTTAATAAATTGGTTGTTAGAGGGCATGATTATATATATGTGTGTGTATAGAGTTTTTTCCTCAAATAATGTTAATTAAAAAACTAATTACGAAAATATGGTTGAATGAAAAGTTTTTACCAAATTGATGCTGCCCAAACCATGGTTAAAAGAACCGATCCAATTGGCGACTTATGCGTATGGGCGGAGGAAGCAATGCAAACTAACGACATGCATGCTCGTACTAAATGGAGGAAAGAGGTAGAGATTGGGGTCCAAGGTATAAAAAATCTCATTTTTGTTTAAAGTGTTATAACTTTTTTATTTTTGCTCCAATTTTTACAAAAAATATATCAAAACTCATAATTTTTTATGATCTTTCATATGACATCAATATCACATATGTAAAATTTAAAAAAATAATGTTTTTACTTTTTAATTTTACATATGTAATATTAGTGATATTAATTGTTTAATTTTAGATATGTGATATTGATGATAATAATTTTTAAGGAACTTTCATATGACACCAATAAAAAAAATCATAATGTTACTAGGTATTAAACAACATTTCCTTTTTCTAAATACGATATTTTGAACTAAATAAACAAATAATTTCTAATATATGATCAAAATCATGATAGTGAGTAAACATGTCACTTATTTACTCTTAGTGACCATAACTATGTTTAAATTTTATATGAAAATGACTATGAAAGTATATTATTAAAGTGTCGAGTTTTTATGAAAGAAGTGACCAAGAGTTAATAAGTGGCAAGTTTTAATGTCAGCCCACATAGCCTAATTACTTCCAAAACTAGAATAGATCATCCCAAATTGAGCGAGACTATTCGTTGAACATACGAGAGATTTGAAACTAATGTTAGCCCACATAGCCTGATTACTGTTAAGACTGGCCGCCAAACCCTAGGCGTACTTCCGCTGTGAAGTTTTTCAATGCCCCATCCTTTTTTAATGTAAAAAATTTGATCATTTATGATGTTATAAATTTAGTATTTTTAAAATTTGATGATTGAATTGTTTTTAAGAGTGTTACTACCTTCATCCCATTTTATGTGTCTTAGATTGATTTGGCACGATTATTAATGAAGTGGTTGAAAAAGTAAAAGTTACGATTGAGGTTTGAGTATAATAAAGTAAACAAGCCACATATTTCTTTCCAAAAAGGAAAAGAGACACTTATTTTGGGACAACTCAAAAAGGAAAGTAAGACAAGTAAAGTGGGACGGAAGGAGTATTATTTTCCGAAATGAGCACCTTTACATGAGATGATGACATGTTCAAAAAGGAAAGTATGAACATTCGTGTGAGACGGAAGGAGTAGTAAACATTAATAATTTTTTTAAAATTTTTACATATGTGATATTCATGTCATATGAAAGATCATAAAAAATTATGAATTTTAGTATACTTTTCGTAAAAATTAGAGCAAAATTTAAAAAGTTAAAGCACTTTAAACAAAAAAGGGATTTTTTTTATCTTGGACCCCACCATTACCTCTCTGCTCCATTTGGTACGTGCAGCTCCTTACGTTGCATTGCTTTCCTCGCGCAACGGTCTAGGTAAGTCGCCAACTAGATTGGCGGTTCTTATTAATCATGATTTATTTAACATTATTTTGGTAAATACATTTAACTCAACACTATTTTGGTAAATACTTTTTTATTTGACTTTATTTCAGAAAAAAACTCGTGTGTATGTGTGTGTGTGTGTAGGTAAGAGATCAAATACAAATCATGCTTAAAATACTAATCTACAAACTCAATAATATGCAACACTTTAAACTTCAATATGCAATACAAATGATATGCAACATTTTGAACTTCAATATGCAATGCAAATAATATGCAACACTTTGAACATCAATATGCAATACGAATAATGTAAAGATGCACAATTTGTGACAGTTTGTAGGTTAGCATGAGAGGACTAGTTTGTATGTGATCTAACACTTATTTTTTTTTTAACCCGGTCGACGAACCACCAAAATCAGTGGGGTAGATACCAGAGAACATCGACAATAGATACATAGAATGAGGGGATCAAGCCAAAACCTCAACAAGGGCATACCCTTGCAGCAAAAAGCAAATAACAAATTGTGCCCACTAGGAAAAAACATAAGGAACCGACATAGCATCAAGCTTGATAACTCCTAGAAGATTTGGATCCAAAGAATCACCTTTTTCCAAATTAAAAGCTCGTTGAAGGCCCATCTTAGCAATAGTAAGGGCTCCCCTATTTGTTTGGGCCGGAGAAACATTCCAAACCGGGTCTAAATGCATTCAGCCCGCCACCGCCCCACTAATATCAACCCAACTCAAATTAGCAACATCAATCTCCAGAAGAGGAAAGCGTAACGTCTGAACCCATTTCATCGCCAGGTCGAGAGCTACCTCCTCCAACCTCGACGACCCACTCATCAGAAAGCCTTTAGCCGCCACCGCTGCTCCATCATGGTCCCTCAGAAGGAAGCCAGCTGCTGACCTTCGATTTTGACGAAAAACTGCCCAATTAAGTTTCACATGTCCTCTTCGTGGTTTCTCCCAACCTCTAACCTGAGGTTTCTTCCTCCTGAAACTAACAGGTAACAATCCGCAATTCATCATTCCATCCCCTCCCCTGAGATTATCATGTGCTAATGACCACGAAATCATGTAGGTACAGATACAGTTTATCAGCTTGCTGGGTTCAGAGAAGGAGTTCATCCAGACCGCCTAGGTCTTCCAAAGGTGCCAGGTAATCACCCATGGAATCACTGCTTTATAGGTGTTATCTAAGGACTTCCCTTTCACCGAAATCCACCATTTCATCAATTGGTTATTAATTCTGGTTGCCTGAATACCCCTTTGCAGCAGGATATTATCAAAAAAATCCCAGACCGATCTAGCGCAAGGACACAAAAGAAGTATATGGTCTTGATGGGCACCAGCTGCTTTACAGAAAGGACAAGCATATGGCAAAGATGCAGAGAACCTAGCTAATTGTTCCGAGAAAGGAAGGCATCCATGCCAAAGTCTCCACAAGAAAGTTCTGATTTTTGGTACCTGCTTCAGATGCCAAATATTTGTTATAGATAAAGACCTCCCCCTCCCTGGCCAGAGAGCCAAAAAAGCTGACTTGGTAGTAAACTCCCCCTAGCTGTGTGCTTCCACTTGATAGCATTAAGAAGCTGTTCTCTTCACCTGATCTGAATGTTTCTGATCTGAATTTTTTAAGTTCTGATATGATCTGAATTTTTCTGATCTGATCTGATCTGAATCTTTCTGATCTGATCTGAATGTTCCTGATCTGATCTGAATCCTTCTGATCTGATCTGAATTTTTCTGATCTGATGTGATTTAAATATTTCTAAAATTATAATTACAATTATAATTACTATAATTTTAAATGTAATGACACATATATAATGTAACTATAGTTATAATTATAATTATAATTATAATTATAAAAATTATAATTATAATTACAAACATAATTATATATAATAGGTATAATTATTATTATACGTATTACACTAGTTATAAATATAGCTATAATTATAATTGTAATTATATTTATAGTTATATTTATTTCTATAATTATAATGTTAATTATAATTATAATATTTATTTCTATAATTTTAATTGGAATTACTCCGTATAATATGATAATAATGAAAACAAAACTAATAACAATAACAACAACAACCATATTAGTAGTACGAATAATAATAATCATGATAATAATAAATATCATAATAATAATAATAATAATCATAGTAATCATAGTAATAATAATAATAATAAGAATAACAATAATAATAACAACAATAATAATAATAAGAATAAGAATAATACTAATAATAATAATAATAATAATAATAATAATAATATCAGTAATAATATTAATTATACTAATTACAATAACAACAACAAGAATAATAATAATTATAATTATTATAATTATTATAAATATTATTATAATAATAATAATAATTATTATAATAAAAAGGATAAATCATGTCTGAACTTTTATGATCTGATCTAAATGTTCCTGATCTGATCTGAATGTTCCTGATCTGATCTGAATGTTCCTGATCTGATCTGAATCTTTCTGATCTGATCCGAATGATTCTGATCTGATCTGAATTTTTCTGATCTGATCTGATCTGATCTGAATAAAATAAGAATAAGCAATAAGTAATAAGATTAAGATGAACAAAACAGCACCTAAGCCCCTTATCCACGAACTGATCTGCCTATTCATGTACCTGGCATATCCTTCTCCAAGCCGGAGAATCAGTGGGCTTGATCTCTCCCAGGTCTCTTTGACCATATTTCCCCATCATGAGCTGTGTCCATATTGTCTCTCATGTCTGATACTCCCACCATAGTTTCATGGCATAAATTTTCTGCATATCATCCAAAGACCTAATACCAATCCCTTCAGCTTCAATCGGTCTGCATAATTTTTTCATACTAGCCTAGTGATATTTAGGTCTATTATCTTTAAAACCCCAGAAAAAATTAGCCACTTTCTTGCATATAATTTGCTTGACAGATACAGGCAGATTAGTAACAGCAATAACATGAACAGGTATAGAATTCAACACATGCTTGATTAGAGTCAGCCTCCCTCCCTGAGATAAAGTCTTCTGCTTCCACAAAGAAAGTTTCTTATCAAAAACCTCCATCAACTCCTTACAATGTGAAAGCCTTGTAATTTGTGAATCTGCACTCCCAGATATTTAAATGGTAATTTAGAGGCTTTCATACCCAATTCATGATTAACATGAGCAATCTGCCCTGCAGTTGCATGTTTTCCCATCACAAAACAACTCTTTTCTTTATTAATCAACTGCCCGGTAGCTCTTTGATAAAGATTTAGGAATTTATTAAAATTCTTAATGGATTTTGATGACCCATTAAGGAAAAGAATCAGCTCATCCGCAAATGCCAAATGGGAAATGAGTGCACCCCTGCCCAGATTAAAAGCCTCAATTTCTCTAGCCTTAATCAAGCCTTAATCAAATGATTGAAACCTCTTGAGAAGGCCTCAGACATAATAATAAACAGAAGCGGGGAAAGGGGGTTTCCTTGTTTCACACATAATAATTAACGGAACCCCATTAATGATAATAGAGATGAATGTGGCTTTAAGATTGCCCATAACTAGCTGTCTGACATGAGT